TACTAGCGCCACGAAGTCGCCGATCGCTGGTAGTTTGCCGCACCCTCTGCCACACCGAGGCGCCAATGCACCAGAGCACGCTCTTAGCCGCGTCAAAGCCAGGGACACTTCGCGAGAAGCAGCAGCAGTCGCAAAGATGCGGAAGCATCGAAGCCTGCCTTCCAAGGTCGAGAGCCTCCTTGCTGAAATCGCGAAGCCGTTCGACGCTGGTGCACGCCGCAGACGCAAGATGGAGTTCGCCACTACCAACGAAATGCTCGAAAAGGCCGCCGCTACTCCCTGCGAGGAGAGGGATCTGCTCCCTCCGACCGCCCGCGACGCTATGGCGGCTTGGGCCAAACGCACTTTCGAGCTGACGGCTGCAAAGAAGTCTGCGGGCAAGGTGGATGTGCCGCCCTCTGCCTACCTAGAGTGCGCGCCTACGCTGCCAACTTTGACAGCAGAAACCGTCGATGAGCTAGCAGAGCCACATGGTGCCCATATCGTTGAGCAGCCTGCAGCTGTAGCAGATGCAGAGCCAGCGCCCTTCGTTCCTTCGAAGGTGAAAGAGCCTGCGCTTCAGCAATCTGTCTTGACGAGAGAACGCGTGGCAGAGCTGTCCCCAGCACTCTCTGTTAGGGGAGTGTTCAGGAAGGAGAATAGTGACCTGCTTGTGGCGCTATCTAGCTCAGCTATCAGCATGACTTCTGCCGGCTCGCTAGGTGCAGGCGAAGGTGATGGACTGCTGCCTCCCGGCTCGCCCGATACGGCAGTCGCGACTGCACTCAGAGCGCGCCGCGATGCTCAGGGGCTGAGCTTGTCCCCGGCGATTCGGGACGCTGCTCTCAAATCGCATGCCTCCGGCAACACGAAGCATCATCGTTCCGTCTCGCGAGCACCGTGCGATCCGCCATCCCCTAGACGAATCGCTTTCGGTATCCTAGCCAGTCAGCGCTTGCCTGAACCTTCACCCCGACGGGTAGTTTCTTGCGCTCCCGGTGCTCGTCCATGTGGCCCTCGCAGACGACCCAGCAGTCCCAGCCGTCGCGTCATGTCAGCCGCACATCCCAACTCAACTTGGATGGGACGTGGCATGAGCCGAGACAGTGCACTGTCGACTTCACCTCTTATTCGCCAGACAAGCGAATGCTCTTT